TGCTTTCAGTGGCTAAAATACCTCAGGTTCCTCCTTCACATTCTTCTCCAAAGACAATTGCAATCCTGAAATACTACAGTGTTTCTCCTTGTTTCCTTCAATTTTTAAGGCTTTAAATTGTAGGAGCAATTAAACACTGTCTTTTAGGAATTAATTATCCAAAGAAAACTCAGATATAAAAGGCTCATTTAGTGCTGCAGGACTATGTTGCAAATATCCTTTAAAGTTTAAAGCATAGAGTTTGGGAAGATGAAAGTCACCTGCGTGTTCCTTGCTTGCTTCAGCCCACCATCCATGGAGTTTCTAAATAATTTAGATTTTCATCATTCTGCAAATGAAACTTCCTTCAGAAATCCTGCCAAAACCAAACTGTAGTGCATGAGCACTAGATGATTTCTTTGAGTGTACTTGGTATCCACTGTTTTAAATTATCTTCAGTGATGTTGCAAATAGCCTTTTGTGTGCAAAGGAATATATAAGCCCAAGGCAGAGAAGCTCTTTGGGATGGATGAGCAGAATTTTGAACAGTTGGAGCAGAAGCCATGGGTAACGCCCTGATGAGAGAAATTAGAACATGCATGCCTGCGTAATTTCTCCTGTGAAATGAAGAATAAAGAAGAGCCAGAGGAGAGTGGAAGTATAGCACAATTCCAGAATGTCTAAACCAGGAATTTTTTAACATACAACCAATTATTATGGTTAGTATAATACAGTGTGTTGAAACACAAAGCAACACTTAACTGCTATCCTCTGCTTAAGCAAAATGGGTCAGAATGATCTTCACCTCACTGGCTGCTCTGCTTTAGCAGGGCTGGGCTGTATTTAGCAGGGCTGGGCTCTGCTTTAGCAGGACTGGGCTCAGCTGCTTGGGACAGTGGGGGCTGAGGGAATGGTCTCATTCAGCCCCTGCTGTGTCTGTCGAGCTGTGGGCACTGTGTCAGTCAGGCTGGCTTCCTCCAAGCTGCCAAAATCTGTGAGGACAGTGGGCTGCTCATTTATTCTGCATCTGCATCTGAGTGCAGAGAAGTGACACTTGTAGTATCTCCAGTTGTGTTTCATAGAGTGATGTCCCTCCCAGTGTCACTGTTGGTTCCAGTTCTGGACTTGCAGCAGGAGAGTTGTGCTGGTTTAGGTGTCAGGTAGCTGAAGTGCACACATCAAGTGTAAGTGCTAGGCCACATTATCTGTGTGCTCTGCCTATCAAACATAAATTACATTCTGTTCATACATGATTATTTTTTAACTGATTGCCAGGCTTGCAGCAAGATTCATACTCCAGAACAATGTCTTATGTAAAGGAGTTTGAGATTCCTGAGTTTTACATTTAGAGCCCACAAGTTGTGCTACAAAATAAAGTAAGTTGTGATCAAACTAAGGAAATAATGTAATACACTGTGTTCCATAGTACTTGCTCCTCACAAAAGCTGCAGCTTTTCACCTACCTCACTTGAGTCTCACAGTCTTGTGTTCCTGGTGGGGCTATTTAGTGATGCTACCGTGGGAAGTCATTCTTGTGATTTTGCAGCCGTAGTTTATTTTTTAATGATACATCACTATCCCTCTCAGTGGGACATGAAATTAAATTGAGTGGCTTCTTTATAGTTCTGTTCTCGCTGTGAAATTCTGATGGAATCAGCTTACCAGACTTGAAAACAGGTGTGATGCAGGTAGAACTTTGTTTTAAAACATGTTTAGAGAAAGTGTAAGAGAGGTTTTTATTTTACTTTTCCCCATGTGTTAAGATTTTCTGAAGTACAGGACAAAGATCCACTTGTTTACTCCTATTTGCTGTAACAAAAATGGCAAACTAAAATGGCAAACTTCTCTTGTGCATGGCAGAGAATTCTCTCCATGCATCCTAAGTATGTGTTGGGTGTGCTTCAGTATGACTATAAAGCCGAATGAAATATCTTTCAATAGTGAAATCAGGTTTATTACAGTGTAATTTCTTTCTATAAACAAGTCTCCCTTTAAGGACTTTTATCTGAAATTACTGATGAATGTAATGGTATTAAATAATAAAATACTGTTATGATGCCAAAAAGAACATCTCAGTCTCTTTGATCTTCATTTTGGCTAAATATAGAAAATTTCACTAGAGACTTTTGTAAACAGACTCCATTAATCCTAACAAATTGTTTTGAAAAACAGCAACTGTAATAGATGTTGATTAAGACAGTGAATAACCTTGAGTTTTAATTTTCAATACAGCATGAGTTAACTCCACATTAATTGGAGTCACGCCTCTAAGTCATGTTGTACTGCTCTGAAATCCACGTGTGCCTACTTCTGTTTGTCTTGGCTTTAATTAATCATTCCCTTATTTCTTGGCAGCAGCCTGTTATTGGGCAGGGAAATATGGATCCAGGTGTAGTCTTGAGCCCCTGTAGCTTCTGCCTGCCTTCTGCACACCATGGCTCTGTGCAGCACAGGAGGTCCTGGCAGCAGGAGTCTTGCAGCAGATGAAACACAGATATGTCTGTACTATTTCCAACTGGAGTGCTGACGAGAACTCTCTAGTAGTCTTTAAGCCTTTCTTCTGTCATTGAAAAAGTTCAGATTTCATTTATTTTTCTACAGGTGCAGTGTTTACTAACGTTCTGTGCATGTGTAATGTAGGTTTGTGTGTTTGCACGTAGCTTAATTTTTTGTTTTGCCACAAAGCTTTTCATGACTACCTAAGAATAAGAGGGATCCCGTTCAAAGAAATGCAGACATCTGTTATTTATGTTTAGAAAAAGAAATACATCTGGTTCTGACAACACATCATTATTTTATGTGCTTCTAAAGAATGCAGCAATTGATATAATTATCTGGATTCAGAGTGTCAGTGGAGTTAATAAAGAGCAGTGCCCTGAGAACTGCAGTGTGTGTATGGCTTGGCTCTCTGTGCACTTTGGGGACCTCTTCTCTGATTGCTTTGTTCTTTCAAAGTTCCCTGATGGGACAGGGCAACAATTAACTCCCATAAAGCATGAGCCCAGGAGCAGCTGGGCCCACTAATGATGGGCAGTATAGATTTGTGCTGTGCCATGCATAAATTTCTCCCCAGGGATACTCCCTTGGTATCATCCCAGCCTGTCTCATGCCATTCGGTGCCCTCAGGCAGCGTGGTGTTGCTCCTCGTGGCTCACCGTGCATGTGGGCAGTGAGTCCTTGCTGAAAACACTGCCCCAGAGCAGTTTCAGGTGCCTTGTGGATGTCACCAGTCTGCTCCAGCTGGTCCAGAGGAGCAGAGGCAGAAATGGGGCTGTATTTCTTGATCAGTTCCCCACTGTGCAGCCCCTAAAGACAGACCTGACTCCCAGATCTTCCTGAAGCTGGTGTACCAATTACAGTTGAAACATAATTTCTATTTTCAGGAGTTTAATTATTGGGAATTTGCCCGTTTTCCTTGTTACTTCTGGTCTTGAAAGCTAGATTAATGGTCAAGCATGTGGAAACAAATTAGCAATTCGGTACACGTGGCCTGCAGTGGGGACAGAATGAACTTGGTCATTGAAGTGCTCAACTTGTCCTTTATCACCTACTTCTCACCTGGATCCAGTACTTGCACTGGGAAAATAACTGTGAGAAAGTTTAAATGCCAACACATGGAATAGCAGTGAAGAGTAGAACTGGCTGAGAAGCTGAAGGCAGAGTAGTCAGTCTGGTGTAAGGTTTGGAATGTGCACATTAACTGCAGGATGTAAGCTTCCAAGGAAAGCAAGAAAGCAGCTGTAGGAGGAGGTAAGAGATGTCCTCTGTCAGAGGGGTTTTTCTCTTAGCCCTGTCTGTATAGAGAGTTATGGCAATGGCCACCCCAAGCTGCCAGGCCATTGTGACTGTTCCCCTAACTTGGAGGGGAGGAAGAGAAGCTTGTGTTGTTCATAATACTGCAGTATTGGAAGAACTAAACACAGGTAGTGTGAGTTCTTTGCCTGCTCTGACTCTGTTAAACACAACTGTTGGATATTTTAATCAGTTTTATTGACACCTGTATACAGCTTCCAGTTATTAACATTTGATTTATTTAAGTGTGTGTGCAGTAGGGAAGTATTAGATTCCCCATCTCAGCTAAGGGCTTGGTCTTAATAAATTGCACTCGTCGGGTGGTCCCTCAGAGCTTTAATGAAAGATGCAGTTGTACTTGGTAACTAGAAACAATACATTCTTAAAAGATAACTAGCTATTACTGTAATGGTCATTGCAGAAAACAAATGAAATTAATTTAGTTACTCTGTGGCTGGAATTACATTATTAGTCAAGTTGATGATGTGTTTCTGGTACTACAGAAGCACAGAAATTTGTAGCACTGTATGAAGACATTTTTATTTCAGCTCTCATTACAGGCAAGCTAAACATAACTCACTGACAATGAAAACCACATGTAATATGGTAAATTATATATGGGTTAACTGTCAGTCACTTATTCTCTGAGCAATTGCTACTGCATGTGTACTACATATTTTCTGGGGTTATGGGGGGAGAGTACATTTTTAGTTTATGTGACTTCTATAAGCAGTAAAAGAAGCAGTTTTTCTAGCTCTAGTACTGGCACAATTACTGTCAACTTTTGCAAGCGTGGTACTGAATACAGACTGCTGCCTGAAGCTCCCTGCCTGGTGCCAAGGGGCTGACTAGGAAGTGTTTTTGTGAAGTGTGTACTCAGAGCTACAGCTGCGCTCATGGTTGAAGACTGAACCGTTTCTGTGTTATGCTGGCATTAAAATAGAGTGTGACTTTCAATGTGAATTCAAGGCACTTGGATTTAGATTTGCTTCCATGCTTTTAGCAAATCAAGTGCAATATTGACCTGTTGGCATAAGAAGCTAATTGGAACTAAATGCTACAAAGTGTTGTGAAGGTGGATTTTTTTAATTGCATGCTGCTCTAAAATTGCCCCTTAATGAAATTGAGAACTAGGAGCTTAAAATATTTTTTGTTAGAATAGTTGATATTTCATTTGCATGTGGGTTTTTTCTGATTATTTGTTCTTTCTCTTTTTATTTCTTTCTTAGTCTTCATGAAGAAATCATTGACTTTTATAAGTATATGTCTCCCAGACCTGAAGAAGAGACAATGCGGATGGAAGTGGTGTCCAGAATAGAAAATGTTATCAAAGAGCTCTGGCCTAATGCAGATGTGAGTAGGACACTGTTTTATTTGTTAATATGTAAAAGCAACATTTTGTGCCTCTTTACTTTATGGAATATTGAATATTGCAAATACTGTTTATTTTTCCATGCTAAACATAAAAAGACTTCTGGTGAAATGAGAGGGGTCATCTTTCTTACTCAAATAATGCAGGGTAACATTTTCTATCACACATAGGATCAAAGACAAGTTAGTCCCGCTGTAGTCAAAGAAAAGGCAAAAGGTGTGGCAATGTTCAGTCTCGTGAATATTTATTTGATAAGGTGAATGGAAACGTATCAGACATGCGTGTATGGATGTACTGTGTTTAAAGAAATCTTCTGAAACTCCTGTCTTTAGTAGTAGGGCTTTTAGTTCAAAGACTTGTGATCTTGAATAAATGTGTTAAGGTGGTGTACCAGCAATATCACATTATGTAGACCATGGTATTTTTAATGGACAGTTATACTAAATTGATATATTTTACAAATTAAAAAAACTCAGAAGTCTGTGTTTAGGAAGAAACAAATCTGTAGATCTGTGTGCTGAGCTGTGTAATGCCTCTTTCCGCTGAAGTTTTTGCTAGTGTGTACTCATTCAAAACAAGACCTTCTCCTATGCAGAGCAATGGGGTTTTTTGATAGAGGTTAGATTAAAAAGAAGACAGAGAAGTTGCATTTATAAGTCAGTATGGTTTTATGGGGACACAGTTGGGTTTCTGGCATAATTGAATCTAGTTTAATTATATTCTTCTACTAATATTGTGTTCATTTCCAGAATGTAAATTTCAAGCTGTAGTCATCTATTTGTAGAGAACAGTAGCTGAAAATCAGGGCTTGTTAGCCAGAATAGCAAACCAGATTCAGATAGCAGAATCTCTAGTATAAGGAATGCTCTTTGATCCTGCCACAGTAAAAGAGAGTGTTTTGACATGAGTGACTTAAATCCACTGTTCATTTCAAATCTTCTTAACCTGTTTTTTGGAATGCCTTTTTAGAAATTGGCAGAATATGACAGAATGTGAATTCTGTATAAGTTCTATGTATGGGATGTGTGGGTTTGTGTGTAAAATGTACTCACATTTTCCAAGAGGTTATTGTTATGGACAGTGTATCAGAGAGCATCATATGGAAGGAGCACTCTCCCCTCCGTGATTGCTGCCTTTGCACAGCTGGAGGGAGGTGTTTGAGTCATTACTCCACAGATCTGGCAATTTTCGTTGAGCAAATGCAGTAACCTTTCCATGGGAGCTGTGTAAGGGAGCAGCATGTGCCACAGGTGTTGCACAGCTCTCCTCTAACCCAGTGAGACAGTCAGGTGGACCCTAATCAAGAGCAGGAGTAGTGGTCTGGCAGGCACTAGTGCAGGAAACAGTGTGGGTGCCACACCCTGTGAATGCCTTGGAGGAGAGGATTTCACCAAAACCACTGAGGCTTCAGCCTAGAGATGTTGGAATTTCCTAGGCAAGTTTGTGTGCTGCAAACTTAACTAGGCTAATGGGGTGAATGGATTTATTACCAGGGGATCTCTCTTTGTTACCGCTAGCACTTTGAATGGGGCACAAGAACATACTGCTTCCAGAGATACTCTGTGGGACAGGCTTGATCTGTAAAAGTCCTTTGTATTAAAAGTAACTTTTTATGTACATATATAACATACATGTTTGTGTGTGTGTGTGTAACTTTACATCCTTGAGAAAACAGTCTTCCTTTAAGCTGCTGAAAGTTTTCTGTAGCCACCAGGTATTTAAGGAGGGGAAGCAAATTACGAGTCCTACCACAAGCGACAGCTGACCACTGGGCTTAGCTGTAACGTGACTGAGGGGAAGCACACTGTGTAGTTGAAAAAACAAAGTTCACTTTTCAATTAGTGCCAGTTAAATCTGCCAGGACTGTCTTTCTCCACTGTGCTTGAAAATGTTAGAGAGCGAGAGCGTGCCAGTTCCTTTTTCTCAAGTCAGTAACTGTTCTTCAAAGCCCAACTGCATTTTGTCTGCAGTTGTTACGTTGAGGAAGAATTCTCCTTTTGTATGTCCTTCCGTTTTCTGGAGGCTGAAAGGGAACTGAATTGTGACAGTAGCATTACTGTGGTGTTATTTTTCCAAAACTTATTTTGCCAGATCAGCTTGGGAACTGAACCGCTGAACTCAACTGTGTTCGACTTGGACAGTCTCTTGTAATTTTTCAGTCCTTTGAGTTAATCACTAACCTTTTGACAATCTGTGTTGGTTTAGCTACTTCTAAGATTCAAGTTTTGGGTTCATGCTCTGGGAAGGTGGAGTGTTACCTGGTCCAATGTCCTCAGCTCTAGCTGTAGTGTAAAGTGATGAGTTAATATTTAAGCTGTTCATTTTGAGTCGTTGATACAGCCAGACTAGCTTAAATAAACTTGGAAGTTAAACATACACATTTAGCTTGTAATTTCTCACTAAACACATAGGTAAGACATAAAAAAATATATAAATACATAAAAATCCAATACTAAGAAAAGAAAAATATGGCTTCATGAATTTAAAAATGTACAGAGAATTTACATGTGGAATGTGCCTGAGCACATCCTTTTTTTCCCCCCTCCCCTGTTCCACTTAGGAAAAGGCTGAAAAAGCAGATGGAAGGGGGGTAAAACTAGGTATCCTAAACTGTTACTTTATTTATAGAAGTTAGCAATTGTGTCATTTGCTCTCTTACTCAAGGGAATGTGCTTAGAAGGAAACATTCCTAGTAAGTGAGAACTGTTCTTGGCATCAGCAGGGCTCTGACCATAAGAAACACTTTAATTACGCTGAAACCAAACAACCCAAAACATTTAAATGAAAACTTTTTAAGACAAATATTTTTGACAAGTTCAGTAGGAATATTTGGCTACTAAACAAATAAGTACTTACGCAGTTGAATTTAGGATACATTTGTAATGGTATCCTCAGCTTCATGTCCATGTGACCACATAGATCTGAAAAGAGGGAATGTTACATATTTCACACACTTAAATTATGCAAATACTATGATTGGGAATGAAGGTAGAAAGATGAACTCTATTTAGTTCAACAAACTTCAGAAAATTCTACTGAAAGATGTAGAAGAAAAGGAAATTGAATTTGCTGTGGATTTTTTTGTTGTTGTTTTGACAGAGGGATTTTGGTACCAGAAATTTACCATGCTTTTGTGGGTTTCCAAGTTCTTTTGTGCTTAGTGAGCATATATTTGGACACATACTGTAATTAAAGCTCCTTCAGGAAGTGTGGAATTTATTATGAACAAGTTCACAGAAGTGTGGGATAAACAGTAACAATAACCTAGAGGAGTAGGAGTTATTGGAGTACTGTGAAGACTGAAGTTATCTTATGAGTGCAAATACAGATCTCTGTCCACAAGCAATAAGAACATGATCAGCAGCATTGGCACACCACAAAAACTAATGCTCGCATCTCAAGTCATAATAGTGTTCTGGTTTGGGATGCTTTCAATACATGCATGGCTAGAGAGCTTCAACAATTTAAATTCCAAATTGATAATAAATCAAAATATTTTACAATTTGTGTTCTGATTTCTCCACTCTTCCTCTTTTGTCTTTCCAGTTTTTGTGAGAGAGTGGTTGAAGTGTGGGTGTGGGTTTCTTTTTTAATAGTTCAGTGTTTCTCATACTCCAGATTATTGTAGAAGAGCAGATGTTGTCTCATTCCTTTTGGTAAAGGTCATATATGTTGTATCAGTAAGTTTATGAATACTTTCAGGGTTGTTTATTCAGTAAAGGCTCTCTTTGCTGTTCAGCTGAACACACTATTTTGTTTGATATTGTGAAAGCACATTTCGTTTTTTCCGAACCCATCAGTGGCTGTTTTATTGTGCAAAAGCACTTTTCTTGTGTTTTTGGTGCCTGAATGAATCCTGGTTTGACTGAACCCAGTTTCATAGAGGATACTTTTATTACTACCCTGGATAAACACAGTGATTATTATTATTATTATTATTATTCCATTCTTAGCTTTGTGATGCCTTTATGCTTTTATACAATATTGATGTTCATGCTGTGGCACCTCTCACAGTCTTTGCCAGTTTGAGAAGCTATGAACTGTCAATATTAAGTTGTGTATGTACTTTTTATTTGGCTTGGGGTGAGGGGCTAAGAGGAGTGAAGTGATAAAAAAATAATCAGGAAGAAGCACTCAAACTGCTTCTTAGTCTACTAAACTATTAAGGCACTTGCAAAACATCATCTTTTCTTCCCTTTTTCTTATCCTGAAGGGGAAAAACATAAAAAGTGGGTCATTGACATACAAATAGGTAGCAATCAAGCTGGTGTATGAGACTCATTAAAGCAGAATACTCAAGTCTGTATAAGGTGGCTCCAGGAAACACATCAGAAGAATGGCTGAAAATTAGCCCAAATGTGTAGATATTTTTTACTTTGAAGTCTCCCCAACCTCCCTTTGAGACTCAGCACATGAGTCTGACCTCCCTGCAAGGCTTGGCTAGGTAATAAGAGCGTGGTTTTGGACAGCTTACAGGGGAAGCCTGATGGTTTACACCTCCAGTGCTAGATATTACAGCATAATAAAGTAATTCTGTGGGATGTGAAGTTCTCTGAAACTTCCATTTGTTGTTTAAGCAGAAATAGACAGAGTTGTGGTACTTGCTTTGTAATGCAGAAAAAAAATGGGGCATGATGGAATTGGTTTTTTTTTAAGTATGCAAAGCAATGGAAATATGTTAGACTTCGAAATGCTCAGATACTGAGAGGTATACTTTGAGATGTGAAAACAAAAATCAAATTAAACTGATACTGTTTTTCTTAAATATTCTGCCATCGTTAAGCATTTCAAAATCTTGGATTCTGGGTTTTTGACAAATTTGGTCATGGGAACAATTTTTACATTGCAATGCAGTTGTTTATTAGAAAAGGCAAAGTTATTAATGTTTTATGAGTAAAAACAGTGAGGATCAGCTGTTTGCAGTACATTGAAGGTATGTATGCTTTAACAGATGTGTTCAGTTCCTGTTAGCAATACCAAAATCTACCAATGGAGGGTAGCAATAGCCAGCCTTTACAAGCAGCCTAATAAACTTTGTCTTCTGAAGCCTGAAAAATTTCTTAATTCATCCTATATGTTTTCTCATATATCCTTTTCTTGTGTTTCAGGTGCAGATATTTGGAAGTTTTAAAACTGGTTTATATTTACCTACAAGGTTAGTAATTTTTCAGCATAAATTCCACACAAAAGAAAAGTAACTTGTTGGACCTGTAACCCTGGGGTCATTTATCTGCTCTCCCTGCATCTGTGTTACTTGTGTCAATACTTGCTATGCTGAGCAAGTGTTAAGCTATTAGTTCTCTGCAAAGTGTACAGAAATGCAATAAATAAGACTATTGACTGTAACATGTGTCTATATAGATCTTGCATGTATCAGTAGAAGGTTCTGAAATACCATGTGGTCAGACAAGGCTTGTGTTGGAATTTGGCTTCATTAATGCAAAAAGAAGATGTTGGCCCTAAAAGAAAAGCTAAATTTTATTTCCACAGATGACTAAATTGAAACCTTTAACATAACATTGTTAACATTAGCGCTGAAGAAAAAATATTACAACAGAACTGGGTTTTTTCTTTCAGTCTTCTTTTGTGAAATCTGTACAGTAGTCAACATCTACCTTTTCCAAATGTATTGCTAGTTTTCATAAAGAGCCTTTAAGCAGTGACACTGGTATCTTCTGTGTAGAAATTGTGAGTATTTATGACAACTACATAGAAATGGAGTGAAATGCTTAAATGGTTGTAGGGGATAAACACATTTAAATACCATAAATCTGAGGATAGCTTTTAAACTGAGTTCCATACTTTGGGAACAGGAGGACATCTAGTACTGACTGCAGGTGAGGGATATCCTCCTCATTGTTCCATCTCCATTTGTAAAAGAAAGAACCTGAGAGATGCTTTAGTTCCTGCTTTAGTTTCAGGAGTTGTAAGGAAGTCTAATTTCTCACTTTTTGTTTGTAAAGCCAGAAGTGAGGTGTACAAATACTCAATATTTTCACATTTGGCCTCATTTCTGGCCTTATTAAAATTTATTTTAAATAGGCTTAATTAAATATGATTTGATGCTGGTAATGCTAGAGAGATATTCCTGGTGACTTGATGGATATTTTACTATATTTGCTTGATTGTTTTGAAACAGATATAACAAAAATGTTTTTCTGTTGTCATATACTGCCTTTCTTGAGTATTTGTTTCAGGTGAGGTTTTGGGGGAGAGCAAATGCAGATACTTCAAATGCAGTACATAAACCCACAAAAAACCTTCCTGTGGTAGTGTTTGCCACACTTTCAAAATAGTCATCATGGTCATTAATTCACTGTTGCCTTCTATCAAAGCTTCCTTCTGCCTTAGGTTTTCCCTTCCTTTTCAGTAATAGTTTGTTTAGACCTCAGGCTCTGGGGTTCAGAAAGGTCTGAAGTGTGTTTTTAATGCTGTGTCTCTGTTGGGATTTGCTCTGTATCCATTAGCTGAAGCTGCTGCTGAGGGTTTGGGCACTTTGCTGCTGCATCTCTGTGTCCCTTTGCAGGCAGTGTCTGTGCTCAAGGTGGCAACAGAGCTGCTTTTTCTCTCTTGGTGTGCATCAGGAAAATGTCTCCTGTTTTTAGCTGTCAGCAGTGGGTTTAACAATAATTCAGTTTAGAAGAGACATGTCCAGCAGCATTTCCTGCTCTCCAAGCCAATTTTGAACACCTTTCTGAAAGAGGCAGGTGCTGCCTGTCCTTGTCAGCCCAGCAGTCTGTGGCTGAACTGCTGCTTCAGGACACAGCTCATCTAGTGCAGGTACAGCTTCTTTGGGGTTGTTAAAGCAGTGGTGTTTGTCAGTCAGCAGATCTCTAGGATCTGTTGCAGGGAGAAGTATTTCTTAACTTTTTTGAGTTTTCTGTTACACAGTTTCCCATCTCACTGAAGCACCCTGCTAGCATAACTATAGGGTTACACCCTCACCTCCTCTGTGTTCCTGGCCAAGCAGGGGAATCAAAGGACTTGGGGAGCAAGGAGGGAGAAGCTCAGGATCGCACAGTAGCCCTCAGTGGCTCAGATGTGACACCAGCCACCTTTTGAGTTTGAGTTCAGGGATTGTATTAGGGTGTCAGCTTCCTGTGTAATGAAATGGTTTTGTGTGTGCCTAGGGAGGAAGGGTAGTAGGATGGAGACACCCCTTCAAAGAGCTGAGTTAATGAGTGAAGTTAATTAGTGGCTTGATCTTATTTAATAGCTTGTTGCTTCCTGAAGTCCAGGTTGCCATGTTTTCTTCTCCCTTGCCTTGTCCCTATTCTTGGTACTACAGGCCAGCAGCTTCCCCTGTGCCCTCTGGTGCTCTGATCATCCAGAAAACCAACTCAGAGATGCAAAGAGGCAGGAAATTACCCCAGAATGTTCTGTGGGTGCTTTAAAGGGGGAGTGAAGAAGGTTTCTGCCAGACCCATTGATAGGTTAAACTGATTTGCTGTGGATTAGAGAAACACCAGACCTGGAGCAAAGGAGGGTCATGCATGTGGGGGTAGAGGATGGGAAACAGGACTTTTCCTTTTGGTGTCAGGCTGTTAAATCAACATTCCTGATGAATACAGCCCAAAGGTGGTGATTCACAACAAGTTCATTTCTTGCTCTGAATCACTCCATTGAAGCTGATCCCTCTCTGCTCACAGTGTGGCCTGAGGAGACTAATTTTAGGTTTTGCAGCCTAATTGATTTATGTTTATCTGTCCCCTCCTCCAAGTAACCTGAAATGGTCTGTATTTCCCCAAGTATAAAAGTTCATCTCCAGCCATTTCCTTGGAAAAATCAGAATTAATTATTTGGTTCAGCTGTGTTCTCTCAGCTTTATTCGAGTTATGTATAGATGTCAATTTTTTGTGTTTTAAGTTTATCATTCTTTTAATTTGAATTAATATATTTTTTTCCTTTTCAGTGATATTGATTTAGTTGTGTTTGGAAAATGGGAGACATTACCTCTTTGGACCCTGGAAGAAGCTCTTAGAAAGCACAATGTAGCAGATGAAAACTCAGTAAAAGTTTTAGATAAAGCAACTGTAAGTTTGGGGGAAGAGGGTATTCCCTTGTTTTAAGCTGAATTTTTAATCAAATAAAGATGTTGGTTAAAAGAATTAATTTTTATAAGCAGTAACTTATTTTGTATATTAAATTTGAAATAGAACATAAAGAACTTTTTTATTTAGTATGATTTTTACTACTAACAAAATAATTGATACTTCAATAACAAAAGCATTTTTTCTGTTGTGGAAATTGTCTGATATTTGATATGCACAACATGTTGCTTTTAAGAGAGATTGGACTAGTCAGTGTTGTGCATTGATGTTTCTAAACCAGGGCATTTCTGGACTGAGTTTTTACATAAGTAATTTTTCTTGCAAGTAGGCAGGTATAATCAGTTTTCACATAGAAGTACTAAGTACAGCATTGTCTAAATAGGTAGTGGTATGTCTTGCAAAAAATAGATAAATTCTATTACAATTTCCTATCTTTTGCTAATTGTAAGAGTATTGGGATATCTAAGTCATAGCTGTTATTAGTAGAGAGAGGAAATTTGATGGTCACTCAGGTGGAGACACATCAGAGTACTCTCCATATCTTGTACTTCTTAATTGAAGTTCATTTTGGTGAGGAAGTGATGACCCCAGTGACATTAGTTGTGTCATTTCTGATGTCTCCAGGACCATTTCTCTGTTTCTCCAGTGTTTGTCTCCCTCTGGTGTCTGTGGTCTCCACCAGAGCTGAGCTGCTGCAACAGCAACTCACCCAAACCAGTCCAAAATAAATCACCTGGAAGGTGAAGCATTAAGTTCTGTTCAGCAGGACAGTAAATTGAAAATAGTGTTTATGAGTTAGAAAAGCCAAGTTTATGTAAACAGATTGGCAAGGCAATGAGTTCATTAATAGAAGTCCTGATTTCACTGCCTACCTCCTCTATAAATTCATAAAAACCTTCAGGTTTGCTAGTGCATATAAGTCATAAATGAAACCAAGTGTGTCTTGGAAATCTGTGTTGACTTATTGTATCTTTCTTTTGCAGGTACCTATTATTAAACTGACAGATTCCTTCACTGAAGTAAAAGTTGATATAAGCTTTAATGTACAGAATGGGGTTAAAGCAGCCCAGCTCATCAAAGATTTTATCAAGGTTAGGCAACACTCTCATGGAACTACACACAGTATTTGATAACTTAATTTTGTTTTCTGTCTTACTTTGATTGCATCCTTACTAGAGATATGCTTTTACTCTGTTGGTTTTTTTTGTCTGATAATGCTGAGGGATAGTCTTAAGTTGTAGATGTATTGCCTTAAAAAGCATGAAGATACTAAAATAGAAGAATAAAATATGGAGTAGTTTTAATGGTACAATGATTAAGAAAAATGCACTATTGCCTGTTTTAAGTGTTCTGCTCCTTTAACTGCAGTTCATTGAGCTCTGCACTTCAGAATTTCAAGATGTGAGATAGTCTTCTCATGAAAGCCTGAAGGTGGTTTTGTGTGTGAAAGCATAGAAAATCAAGTTGCCTGGGTTACTTGTGACCCTCTGGCCTTGGGTCAGGGGGTGAGAGGGGTCTGTGCCCCTGGGGGTGGAGCAGGAGCTGTGTGTGGCAGCAAGGACAAGGCTGCAGCCCTGTGGTACCCCAGCCCAAAGAGCAGAGCAGGTCTGGTGCCAGCAGCTGGGGCAGAGAAGTGGCCAGGGAGGATGTGCAGGCTGTGGGTAGGGTCAGCAGCAGTGTGGGGCAGCATGGACCAGGCTGACAGTGCAGGGCAGCAGCTCTGGAGCAGAGTGGAGGCACTCCCAGCAAGGCTCCCCACATGGTGCTTTCCCACAGGGCTGTTCTCCCTGCAGGCTGAGCCAAGGCTGTGCAGCTGTGCCACACCACAGCTGGCCCTGAGCACGGGCAGCTGAGCAGGAGGTGGCACAGGCTGCTCTGGAGGGTCCTTTGTTTGACTTGGAGAAAACCTGGTGTGTTCTTGCCGAGTGACCTTGTTGGTGTTCATGAGGCACTCTCTAACACTTGCAGGGCATTCTCTTGGGTCTTATTTTGTCCCACATAATTCAGTACCTTTCTGAGATGTCATATTTGGCATTAGGCTTGGAAATGCCTGTTTGTCTTCATCCACGTTGTTTAGGAAATCCGAGGCAGTTGGAGCCTTTATTAAGGGTGTGCAGTTTTCCAAGAAAAATCCCATCTCTAAATTTTGGTATATACTGATATTCAACACTTCAGCTTGTGACTGGAAGTTTTTAATAGTTCAAAATCTTCAGTTAGATAGATAGGGATCTTCAGTTAGATGGGACTCCCAGTACTCACCATAAGGCTCCTGCAGAGAGGTTCTTGGCAAAATTCTTCTTTCCCTTTAATCTTTTTGCAGTCACAGACATAGTGATCCACATTTCGTCTGTGACACTAAGGAGCTTTTTGGCTCTGTGTTGATAAAAGCAGTGATCTTATTAATCCTCTTTGCCCCTCCCCTGTGAGGGGTGTACAGAGTGCAGGCGTAGCCCAGCCTCCACTGCTGTCCCAAAGCAGCCTCTTAGGGGAATCCATGCACATAAACCCTTTAAAGAACCAGTTACCCAAAGGTATTTTGCTTTACTGAAGATGTTATCTGGGTGTACTAATTTGAAGGGCTTTCTTTAATTCTGGGCATCCAAAGTACTTGCAGGACAGAAATCTCAGGGCACTTTGAGCTACCTGTCAATTGTAGCAAGAAGGTTTTGTTACAGATGTCAATATCCCCACAGTTGTTCCTTTGCCATACTTTTCACTTGCATGAGAAAAGTAAGTGTGTATATATATATATATATATATATATATATATATATATATAATTATACTTCTGATTTTACAATGTAATAACTTTTTTCTCTTGTTAATATCTGCCACCAGAGTGAAACAGGTAAAATACCTGTGTTGATTGTGGGCAGGGCATTGGCTCTTCTCCACAGTTACTAAAAATAATAGGTTAGATTAATGATTAGATTAATGATAGTTACCTTAAAGGCAAAATATAATAAAACATGGTTTCAGTATGCTCTCCATTGTATGCATGCATCACAGTATTGTAACAGCTTTGTTTTTCTCTTTCAGAAATATCCTGTGTTACCATTTCTAGTTTTAGTATTGAAACAGTTCCTGTTGCAGAGGGACCTTAATGAAGTATTTACAGGTGGAATTGGTTCTTATAGTCTCTTTTTAATGGCTGTCAGTTTCCTTCAGGTAAGTTCAATGGAATCTGTCAATGCCATTGTGCCTATGGACATCACCTTAAGAAGGAATTTGATCAACCCTCCAGTTTAATAATTTAAGCTATCATTTTTTGGGATTGCACCCCCTTTTCATTTAAAATTAGATATGTCCCATCTGTCTTCTGTTCCTTCTCTGATGCTGATACTTTTGGTACAAAAGGTGTTTAGAACATCTGTTGGTGTACCAATGCCAGGCACTGATATATATGATTTTGATACACATGATATGACGTGTGTCATTCATGGTAAAGCAACTTGAATATTGTATAACTTGCTTGGAACAAGTTCCATAAGGTTGGTGTTAGCTGCAGCTGTCCTTTATAACAGTCCTGATTGGTCTCCAGGTCACACACCCTGTATGTGCTTTCACAAATGCAGTGTAATCTTGGTTCTCTGGGTTACTAAGCTGATATCAAACAAACATCTTTTGCAACTTTCCCTTAAATCTAATAGAACAAAATGCATGAGCTGAATCTATATTGTTGTGCCTGGGAGAGGGAAATACTGAACAAATATGAAGTAGCTGATTTCTGGCTGTATCAGCCCTGTTCTTTTTCCTGAACTACATGTTATACATAACTGTGTTTGCAAGCGTTATGTCCATACTTTTCCAGACTGTAATTCCTCTAAAATCTGAGCCTGGAACTGGAGCTTGGTGTTTGCTGAGTGCCTTTGCAGTTCCCTGCTGAGCACAAAGGAAATAAGGGCAACATGCATATACCAAAATCTCTCCTAATCCATGTTCTTATGTTGAGTAACAGCACTTCCATTTGCTCATTAAAAAGTATTTTTAAAAAAGTTAAATTTCATATCTGTTACAACTCTGAGCTGGTTTTGTCCGCTCAGGCTGCCTCTCAGGCTGTTTCCTTAGCAGTGGAGGGGATCCTGTGTTTAGCTGTGCACATGGGAAGGCTGTATTTGTATTGCAGACCCAGGTTTGTGAGGTACAAATATCTGCTTTTGCACAAGAACCCTGCCATTAGTGCTGGAAGTTCACTTATTGGACTAAAAGTTCAAATGCACAAAGATTAGTGTTTGACAGCCTTTTTTTGAAGAGGTAATTATTTTATAAAAGTTGTCATAGCATCTTATTTATAAGATGCAAAACTGCTTAATCAAGGGAAAATACTTTATTTAGACATATCTGTTTTATGATTTTTTATTACTGTATTTAGACATGTTTTCCATGAAAAAGAGAAGAACTTGAAGTCATAAAAGAATGATTTTTTTTTTCTCTCTTCTTAATAGCTGCATCCCAGGGAAGATGCCTGTATGCCCAATGCCAACTATGGTGTTCTTTTAATAGAGTTTTTTGAATTGTATGGACGTCACTTCAATTATCTGAAGACTGGAATCCGAATAAAGGATGGTGGCTCTTATGTTGCCAAGGATGAAGTGCAGAAAAGCATGTTGGATGGCTACAGACCATCAATGCTCTACATTGAGGATCCATTACAGCCAGGTATCCTCAGAAACCAAAATGGAGTAGCACTACTTTTAAATGTTTAATAAATGCACTGCAGGGGGTTTTTTTCTCTTCATGTATTGCACTTGTACTCAGAGAATTGCTGGTCTGGACTTCTTTCCATTTAAATCTCTGTAGATCTTTTAAGCTGTTTATGCTAAAGAAATATATAAAAAAATACATATACAATTATGTATATGTATCATATTTCTGCTTTATGCTAATCCTGTTCTACAAGAGGTGGCTGCAGTTAGTTGGGACTTAAGGGCAATTTTAAAAACAGATTACTCTCTCGTGCCTGAAAGGTGATAACCATAGTTTCAATCATACTCATTTATTTATATTCTTATTTTAAGGTAATGATGTTGGGAGGAGTTCCTATGGTGCCATGCAAGTGAAGCAGGCTTTTGATTATGCCTATGTTGTTCTGAGCCATGCTGTTTCCCCAATAGCTAAATATTATCCTAACAACGAAACAGAAAGGTAAAATCTCCAAGTCTAAATCTCAAACATTCATTGCTTATATTTTTCTGTGTCTAAAAATTAATTGTGGTGATGGTTTTGTTTTTGTTTTTTTTTTCCCTGGTTTGCAGTATATTAGGGAGAATAATTAGAGTAACACAAGAAGTGGCCACATACAGAGACTGGATATCCAAGCAGTGGGGAATGCAAAGCAGAACAGAATCTTCATGTAATGGTGAGTTCTGACTCAGCAGGGATGAGGGGGAAACTTCCTGCACATTTTGCTTGTGTAGATTTTGTTGTTGCTTTTGCCTCACATAAGTCTGTGTGTGCATCTTACTAGTAGTTTCTTCTTTTTTTTTTCAGCATTCATGTCTTTTCATCCAGAAAAGTCAAATTTGTATAAGACTAAAATGTCCCCATCTTTATTGTACTATAATAGATTTGGTTAGTAGAGAGATCTGTAAAGAGTGCTGCCTTCCACAAAGAGATTTTGGGAAAACTTCCAATTGAAATTACCACATTGTCAGTGTCATGCTTCCTTTGTCCTTTAAATGTGGACAAGGTTTTAACAAGAATTGCTCGGCATGTTAGTTTAAATCTGAATCCTTGAATTCTGCATTTTTAATAGTAATTTTAAAGTCTAACATACGGTATGTGTGAGGAAGAAATACTTAAGCCAGGATTCACTTTGTAAGTGGAATAAGTCTTTTAAACAGAAAAGTCCTGAGATGTCAATCATGATCTTGTTTTTAACAAATGGAAACACAAAATCTAGCCAGAGAACTTGGTGACAATGCCCTTTGGAATCACCTTTAATCCATTGCCCATCTTCTGACTTCAGCAGCCAGTTGCCACCCTCTCTTGGTGCAGGTGTATCTGCTGTCTGGAACTTTTTTAACTAGAATTAATTTTCATGCTCTCCAGTTAATTTTAGAATGTTTCCTGTCAGAAGTGTTCTCTTGTTAGCGATTAATCAGAGAAGATGTTTCAAGGACCCGTTCTTTTGGCTAGGCTGGGATTTTTTTAACTTGTTTTTAGAACTTGTGTGAGTGATTTGTCAGCTGGATGTGCTCTGTGCCATTGGAGCTGTCACCCTGCAGGCCCTGAGCTCCCATCACCTCCCTTTTAGCTGCATTTGTGCACAGACATCATGTAAATCTCTACCTCCTAAGTGTCTTATTTCTGATAAAACAGCAATCAAAAAAGAAAAATAACCTTGTATTAATAACCCTGTAACAGTAAAAGTGGTTGTCTTGTTGATTTAGTTCAGATCTAAATTCCAAGTTTTGTTTTTTTAAGGCAGAGCTTAGTGATATATGAGAGTTCTGTATCTTGAATTTTCAGTATAGGAAATCCTACAAAGCAATGAGGCTTATTTGGAGTTCATCTGATCCTAGAAGCTCCAGCAGAAGAAAAATTGGAGTTGCTGGGTACTGGGCATACAGAATTTAAATCTCTGTATTTGAGTGCTGTTGAAGTGTGGCATGGAACAATCTACAGCAGCACATCTGAACTTTGCTGCTGCCTTCTTCCATATCTTCTGTTCCTAATTTCCATCTCAAACCATGGGCAGTGCTCAGTGCATTAATGTCCACCTGCTACTGTGGATGTAACATGTATTTTGTATCTTTGGGGCTATAGTAAATAACCCCAAGGCAACATGTTTTTGCATTTAAATGTGTGGTGATGCTTCTCTTTTGTTTTTACTAGGTAATGGAGTAACCTTGATAGTAGATACTCAGCAGCTGGACAAATGCAACAATAATCTTGCTGAAGAGAATGAAGCACTGGGAAAACCTAGAAATAAAACTTCAGAAACACTTAGTAAACATTCTTCAAATTCTTCATCAGGTCCTTTATCATCATCATCATCTACATTGTCCAGCTCTAGTGATGTAGTAAGTACTGGAAGTTTTCTGACTCTGCTTTTTAAAATTTCTTTGGGTTTTTCACCCTCTGATTTATATTGTCACAAAATACATTTTGGGAGCTCACAATCCTAGTCAATTAATTCATCCAGAATCCTAACTTGCATAAGATGTTAATTCTTATGCAATTTCTACACATACAAGTTGCAGTGTGTTTTTGACACAATACATGTAGAAAGTGAATATATAGACACAAAGTTTCACTGCCCTCTTTTCTCTGGGAAAACTGTATTTCAAAAGTAAAACAGACTTGTAATCCTAAGCCACATGCTTTAAAAAACAAACAGGCCAAAAGCTTTGAAAAAGATCTTTGTTTGGGAATTTTACTTAAAAGGCAAATCTCAAAACCAGAATCACACATCAATACATCTTTAAATTTGTTTTACTTGATAAGAATTCTGGATTGAAAGAATTTTAATATCTAGTAAAGTAAACAAGTTTTCAGTTTTGTCCACTGTTAACTTTATTTTTAAAAGAAAATTCACTTTTAGAAATACTCACTCTTAAGAAAAGCTCACTAATCCTTTACATTTTCCTGAAGGATTCTGATGGAACACCTTGCAAAACCTCTAAACAGTTGAGTTGTCGTCAGTCTACCACAAACAGAGTGGGGTCACAAGAAGTGTCACTGGAATCCTCCCAGTCAAGTGGGAAAACACAAAATAGCCAAACAGCCAATACATCCAGCAACACGAACAAATCTCAGGTTTGTGAAATGTTTGAAAACAACAACTGTGTAGATTATTTGAATATTACACATATCCTCCATGGAAGGGTAACTTGTTCTGGAAAGGGAGCACTGCATTTTTCACCTCCCTTTTGCCCCATTAAAAATCTCCCAGCGCTGGTTGTATCTAAAGCCACCTGGTCCTCTGTTAAGCTTGCACAGATGAATTTGCAACCGTGGCTTTCCCAACTTTAAAAGAGATGAAGTTGGTCTGACTTGTACACCAAATTTGCCAGAGGTGTTCAGCTGTGTTGCACCCATTTCCTCCTTTGCAAAAAGCACACCAGCCAAGTTTTGATTGCAAAATATGAGAGATGAGGTGTGCCTACACTCAGTGAAAGCAGTTAGCAAAAATGTGTGTTTAAAACTCTGACTGACTGCTCTTTTAGCTGTTGATACTTGTTGCTCTGTCTTCCACTAAGGGAGGTGAAGATTCTTTGTGATAGATGACATTCACCCTCATTTTCCCCTATGGCCAAACATCCTTATGATGACAACTATCAGAACTTACGCATTTAGGAGATTTTCCAACTGAGGAATGCTTCAATATTCTGAAAATATTCTATGCCTCTATATACAGTATACCCTGGATATATGCAGTTTAAATTCTTGCACTTTTTCAGAAATTGGGTCTTTATGTTTGAAACATAGTCCACAACCTTCTGGAATACTTTCCTTGAAAGTAATTCTGAAGACATGCCTCTTATCTGCTGATGATTTGTCTTCTAACAGGACAATTCACACGCCTGGCCTTGGCTGTGCTATGGGTGTGTGTTTGTATTATTGGGCAGTACTAATTCCAGGCTGGAACGTGCATGCCCATGATCTCATCTCTGAAAAGACGGGGTATGTCAGATCATGGGCATGCACAGATTTGAGCAATCTTCCTGTGCTGTCTTGGATTATGGACATTTCTATAAAATACCTTTATACTTTCCAAAATTCCAAGTGCTCTGCCCTTCTTGTTAGGGGCTAGAGATGAACATTTGTTTGCAACCGCCCGGGTGGGAGATTGGCCCTGCAGTGCTGCTGTCCCAGGTTCCCTGTGCCATGGCAGGTTTTCCAGGCTGTTCTCAGGGGTCAGCATGCTGGTTGTGCAGGAGCAGGGCTGTGTGACTGCCATGCCTCATTCCCACTGCAGGGATTGCTGACCATGTTCTCTTTCCTCCGCAGCACGGATCCGCACGGTTATTCCGCTCCTCTAACAAAGGCTTCCAAGGTCCAACAAACTCAAGCCATGGTACCTCAGTCACAAACAAACAGCACCAAGGCAGCAAATCACACCATCAGTTTTTCCACGGCAAAAAGAGGAAACACAAGAGGGATGCAGCTCTGTCAGACCTTTGTAGATAGTTGACTACTTTAAGACTGTTCTTCTGTGTGCAATGATCTCATGCTACAGGATAGTTTGATAGTGACTCCTTGGATCTCTTCTGGAGCTTCAGACTGTTCAGACATAGATTAGCAACTGCATTTTTTTTTCCCAGCTCGCCACGGAACGGAACATGAAGATTGATCACTGCAAAAAAACAAAAAAAAGAAAAAAAAAAGAAAAAAAATGGAAAAAAAAGGAAAAAATTAATTTTTTAAAATGAGGAAAAAGGCTGCTCATTTGATAAGTCATATGCTACAACAGGGTCATTTAGGATATAAAAGCTTGAATGTAAAATAAATGTATTTCCCATCAGCTCATGCTGACCTGTAGAGATAGTACTCAGTGTGTCTAGGGGGTGGTAACAAACAAATAAAACACAAAAAATAGGAAAAAAAAGGCAAAAAATTGTATTTTGAGGGAAACCCAGCCTTTAAAGGTGAAAGTAATTTGTGCATGATTTTTTAATTATTTTTGCATATACTTACCATTTTATTGTGTATATATAGATGACCATATAGGAAAACTGACATTTGTAATAGTGGATTTGTTAATACTTTTTACATAACATTACTGTTTAAATTGTAAACATAAATTTTTTCTCAGGATTAGTTTGGAAAATAATCTGAATTGTCATCTTAACATCCATATAAAGAGACATTACTAGTTGTATTGCTCAGATTTTCTTTTCTTGGCATTTGGAAGATCTCATAGAACTTTTGATCTGCAAAAGCTGTTCCTCTGAAAGAAAGGTTTATGGTGACAAATGAAGATTTTCATTTGTATAAAGTGTACATGTACTTTGTGTAGACACTGAGCTTGTCATCTCTGAGAAGTAACCTTCACCTTGTTTTCTAGAGTGCCATCATTTCAGGCAATGGGGTTTTATAGTTGCATCCTTCTCTTCCTCCCCTTAGTGGTCTCTCCTCGACCCTTCCTTCTTTTTTTTAAGGAAAAAAGGAAAAACAAAGGGCCACTCGGGGTTTGGGGGGGTTTTTTTGTTTTTTGGGGGTTTTTTTTTTTTTTTTTGATTGATGGTGATGATTGTTTTCTTTTTTGTTTTCTTTTTTTTGTTTTCTTTTTTTTTTTTTTGTTAAAAAAAGAACTAAACAACAAAAGTCAATTTGTTACAGACATTTGCATTCCTAGGCTGCTTTAATCCCATGCCTCCTTGTTTGTGCCTTTCCTCCCCCTTCCAGGTCTGGGTTTTTTTGTCTTTTATATTTTTGCTAACTCCTGTAGGAGATGATAACTGTTGAAGCTTTAAGTAAATTTTACAATTAAAGTATTTTTTCTCACTCCCCTCTTAGGCATTTTTATATATACACTTAATTATTAAAAACAAAACAATTTAAAATAATGAAATATACTTTATATTGCCTTAAAGACCCAAACCTTTCACATCTCCTAATATTTCTTCATTGACCTAGTTCTCATTTCATTGAAACTCCACGTGTGAGGTTCAGTCACATCACAAGTCTAGGTTGCAGTACCTTTGATGCCATGAATGCGAATGAAATGGAAAATTGCACTCACAGGCATAGTTTGGAACAGGAGTGGGGACACTTCAGTGCTAGAGAGTTAAGTGGCATTTACTTTCACATATTTCTGTAAAGAGGAGAGTCTGTACTTGGCATACCTGGCTGTATTAAATGCAGCAGTTCTGAGATGATGCTTTTATAAAAAGTACTGTTAGCTTTGAGAAACTTTTTATATACATTTACAGAATACTACAGACCAACCTGACCTTTATGGGCACTAATGAGTGCAATGATTTTTAAAGTAAAATGAGACCAGAACCAATGTTGTCACTTAAATTAATAAACATTTTCAATGTGTTAAAGTGTTTTACTTCAAAAAGGAAAGTATATATATATATTCCAAAAATACAGCAAGTCATAACATTTACTCCAACACTAAGCTTACGTGATGTTAATTTGACAATTTTTTTTTAATTTTTAGAGTCATATTTTAATTTGATCAGATAATTTTATCAAGATGTTCAGCTTTTCTTCATAGAAACTAGTGAAAGTTGTACCACATTATGCATAGTCACTATTTATTTTGTTTTAGATTATTGTGAATGTGTAGACTTATGTTCACCGCTTAGGGAACAATTATTTATAAATTATATTAATCCAGTATTGTTAGCTGCTATTAGCAAAACTGTTCCAAAACTTAATACTTGCAAAGATCTGTATCGCATTTACCACACTGAAGTGTTTTTAAAAGAATCACCCTCATTGTTGAAAGCAAATGTACTCCTAGGGTGCAGATATTAGTGTTCCAATAAGCATGTGATAATTTTAAGGTGGTGGTAGCGGGAAGATAATCTTGATTCCATTGGGAATCTTAGGTTTGCCTCAATTTATGGTTTTCATAAATTTAATGGAAAAAAGCTTTTCCTGGACTGCTCAAGTTTCTTTTTGGTAAACAGTATCTTTCTAAAAGAAAAAGAAAAAAAAAAGAAAAAAAAAGAAAAAAAAAAAAAGCATGAAGGAGAAATTGAGGTATTTTACATTGCCTCAAATGACCAGCATTGTATTCATAAAATACTGTATATCTTGCAAAACTTTATTTAAACGGAACAGTTGAACTGTTCGTTTTTCAATCTGAAGTAAAATACTTTCAAGACCTTTTAGTTTGCCTGCTCATTTGTCTTGTACATTTCATCTCTGTATTTGACTCAAGTCTAATTCCTTTTTGAGTTTCAATACTTTTGTGAAGATTTTGTGAATATATGAAAAAAAAAATAAATGTTTAATCTAACTACTGCAGTTTATCACCATTCTTGACACCCTGTCTTCCCCTTCAGAGCACGGTGGAAAGAGTTTCTCAAGTGACATTTTTTGTAGGATCAGGGTCCTTCCCCAGCTGAGTTCTGGGCCCTCTGCCTGGAGTTTGGAAGCTGATTTTGTTCAGGTGGCCCTGGTCTGCTGGTCTTCCTTTCAGGAAAGCTGGAGCAGAGTCTGTAAGCTTGGGAATAAATGGAAGATTATACATGTGTAATGATTTCTTAATGTATGATCTTTGTCTAATTTTCATCCTCAAATACACAGGAAGCTTATGGAAGGATCCATTTGCCTTGTCTTCTGAAATCAGCTGTGGGATGGTGTTGCAGCTGCAGGGCAGCAGCTGCTCAAAGCTGCCATGCTGAGGGGGTTCTGTAGAACTATTCAAGAGTTAATTGGATTTACTGGCAGCTAAAATCCATGTTCAGCAGTTCCTGAAGCACAGCTGATGTTACTGAAGTGTATTCTTGTCCTTCCCTGGGAGACGTGCACATACTGCAGGTTCTGGTACTTTTCCTTCTGGTACTCCACTGCACACCATTGGAAGTACATAAATAATCTGGAATGTTTGTATATTGTCCTGTTTGGCATTAAATTGATTTGCTGAGACTCTTTTAATTAAAAAGAAAATTGATCAAATTGTGTTTATGGTTAAAAATCTTTGTATTTTTTAATTGACAGTCTTCCCCCTTGTGGCAGAAAAGAAGCTGAAATGTAAGTAAATCTGTTTGTGAGACGTGATTTCTATTTTGTCAGAATTTACAGCTCAGGTTTTGAAATACTAAATCCAAACTTGTTTTCCTAGAACTGAATCTTTCGAAAATAATTGTAGTCCAGTGGCTGGTGACAACTTTTTTAATGTCCTTTCAAAATGGACCTTTTCCATTTTATGTTTGGAATCATCATGAGTATATCTTAAATATAAAGTGAGCAGCTGGTTAGAGAATAGTCTTACCTGGAAAATGTATTGTAAATAAATGCAGCTAGCCATTTGACATCTTGATGGATGCTAAAACTCATGATAGATCTTAAAACAGAACGTTTGACTACAACTTTACTTTGTAAAGGGTAAAAGCCATAGGAGATAAAGTGTGCCTTTGTTGGGAATCTTGGCCATGCTCTTGGCAATAGCCAGGTCAGAGGTGGCCTGTTCCATTTGTTCCTTCCTGTAGCAGTGCAGGATATGGATGAAACAAGACTAGAAAAAGAATTTGAATTTTATTTTGCTGTAAGTTAATTGCTGAAAGTTGATGGGATCCTGAAAATCATTTAAGTACACCTATTAGAAGGGGAAGATGAAAAATCTTGGGTGTCCTGTGCATAAAAGCCACTTGGAGGAATGCCATCTTTCTGCTTCCAAGGTGCATGGAAGTGAGGTGCTATGGGGTTCTGGTGGGTCCCTTTGCTCAGGCACTGCCTTGGGATACCAGATGACCTCAGCAGTGAATCTCTTGCAGGTGTCTCTGCTCTGTAGCAGGTCTAAATAGCTCTTGGCATTTGAAACTTGCTGCATTGAGTTTCCTAATCCTTTTTCAACTCTGAGCCCACCCTTTGTTTTTTGGTGCTAAATGTGACATCTTTCAAATGCTGTCCAACAGGTTCTAGGGAAGCACAAAGGGGATGCAGATGATTAGTGCTTTAAGAAGGGTATTTCCTGCTACTATAGCAGCTCTTTAAAGGAAAATAGACCAAAAACCCTTTGATTGAGCAGGCTGAGGTAGGAATACAACCCCTTAGCCCTCACATATCCATATTTGAATTATTCCATGTAAAGTATTTGACAATCTAATGTTGGGATGTGTGGCTGTTTAATGAAGTCCTACTTTCCCATAGTGCAAACCTCTGCCAGAAAAAAAACACTTGACTGTGTGCAAGAGCTGGCTTGTAAAGAATGCATTTGTGTGGTGGTAGAGAAATCTGAGGAACCATGAGTGCAGATTTGGTGAGTGCTTTGCTTGTTTAAAATACATAAAATGCTCTTGTGCGGGTATATGAAAAGACCTTTGCTGCTGTATGAAGCAATGTTTGACTCTTGAGCTTAAAGATCATTAAGCAATCAAATGCTTCTGAATAGCTGCTAGTGAAACTAATCTGCTCTCTGGGCTGCATTTTCCCAGGTCTAAAGTTCATTTGTTGTGCTAGATTTGGTGACAGCGAGATCTGAAAATAATCCTGGTTCAAATTGCTCATTTATGCTGCCTGGCAAAAATATCTGTTCTGAACTTAAAGCTACCATCTTAAAAAAAGCCAAAATCCCCAAACAAATACATCTTCCTGGTTTGTACACAACATATTATTGCACCAGCAGTGTGAAGAAATATTTTTTTAAAAAAATAACATGATGTGGTTGAGGTGAAATGTGCATTAATGGTTGCTGTTTGCATTTCCCTCCTCCTGTGACCTATTTCCAAACAGGACTGTTGCTCATTCTTAGAATAAATAGGAGACTGATTAAGGCTGGGTTGGGGTTTTGTCCCTCTTCACTAAAGTGGATCTTGAATCAAGCTGCTTTGTGGTTGCCTGGTAATCAGTAACTATGAAAAGACATTCTCGGTCAGAAAAATCAATGGCTTACCCAACAGCGGGTAGAAATCTTTCATATTGTCTTCCTTCAATGCATGTTTGCTTTTCCTTTTCAAAATTTTTCATGGCACATGGGAGGAATAACTTATAAAATAATGTATTATTTCTATAAGATTCTTTTCATCCCAAAGTGTCTTACTAACCTGATGTTATGATATCAATTTTATCCATCAATATAATGTCATAAAGCATGATTACTGACAATTTCAACTATGTCTGACCTGCAGTGTGTGCCACCTCCTGAATCACTTCTGTGCAGTGTTTAAGCCACCAACTCCATCTACAAAAGGTAGTTTGAAGGCTCTGGCTGTATAATGTTTTTTGAATGCAAGCAGTAGCACCTTCAGATAGTGGTAACTACACACAGAATCCCACTAATCTAAGGGTAGAACTGAGAAAAAGGAAATTTGTTAATTTGTTGCAAAGAAATATTGGGACAGTGTTAGTAGGGTGGAAGGCCAAGGGGGTAAGGGCAATGCTGGCTCCAAGGGAGAGGCTGCCCTGGCCTTTCCTGTCGTGCCCAGGGGCAGAGACCACACTGCCCTGCACCTGCGCTCCTACACCAAGGGCTTTGTAACTAGTCAGCGCTTCTGAGCTCTCCAGGTGAGT